CTCAGGAGCCATCCCTGTGTCATGAAAAAAACAGTTATAATGTCCTCCATTTCTAAACCACTGCAGCACATATTTTTCCACAGGCAGAATTTTGTCTAAAAAGCTGACACCAAAATATTAAGTTGTTTACAGAAATATTAACTCCAGTTTGAGGACTTTTATTACATAAATGACAATGACAAAATCAAAATACTAAGGGAATTTGAAAGGACATTTAACATCTTGCTAAGAGTGTATTTCCAGAGAACAAAATGAAGCCTATCCCTGTCAAACTTACTGCAGCCCAAGTGCTATAACAGTATTATCATTCCAGGCCATGGTAGCTACTTCTCCTGCTTTAATCACTGTATAGAAGAGAATCATCTTCCCTGGTTTAGCCCACAAAAGTTAGATTCTATTTGATTCTTGCCTCCAGACAACATTTTTAAGCCAGACACTTTGGCATATCATCTCTGAGGTCCCAACTGCTTTGACCATCCTGCTAAAAGCTATTCTCTGATGCTTTCAATGCTGCAGTCTCTTCTCCTTACTGTACTTTTTGTCTTTTTGTAAATTATTTTTTGGGGAGAAGGGCATGGGGCAGGGTGTTGATGATTTTCTATGGGGTTTGTTCAGTTTGCACTTTTTTTATAAAGTGACAATTCCAGTTACCTCCTTAAAAAAACTTAAGCAAAATATGAAGTGATCTCTCCAGAGATCCCACGCACAACTGCACATTTGTGCCTTTAGCTTGGTGAGACATCAGACACACAGCAAGATACTAATACTTCAAAAACATCAACCTATTCTAACACTGCAGAGAGATTCCTTGAGGAAATTATGTAGGACCTGCTATGGGAAGTGAAGGAAACAGGAAAAACCTATGTAAATAGTGAACATATGATAAGTGTGTTTTATTGCTTGTGTCTCATCATTAAAACAAAACAAGTTCCCATGGTGCAACAGATGCTTCCTGAGGCAGAGAGCCTCCCACAACACATGACTAAAACCTCAGTTAGTAACACCACGTTCTCCCTTTCACTTACCCCTTTACAGCCTACCTCCTGAAACCAGCTTAAACAATCACAATCCTTGACATATAAAGTAATAATATCAGCAAAGTATGATAGAAAAATCCATATTAGTCTGCCCTCATAATAACTATAGAGGGCTTTTTTTTCTTCCTTTTTCTTTTTCTCTGCTGTACCACACCAAATAATGAGGAAAAAAGGAACTGTGGTGAAAAGTAACTACTCCATGCTCAGACTAGAGCCCCTCTAACTTCCTAATAAGACTTCAACAAAATCCCTCATGTTTTGCTGACTATTAAATTCCATGCTAAAAAGTTAGATCAGGTTTCCTCACATCAACTTTATCAAAGTCAAATAAAGTTTCTTTCCAGTCCGTACAAAGTACGTCCAAAGGTCTTCCAGTATCAGATAGGTTTTGAGAAAATAGGAAATATCTTTGTTCAAATTTCTTAATATCCTAGAAAAATTCCTTCTTTACAGAATGGTTTCATTTGGTCCTTCATTTAGAGGAAAAACAAGCTACAACCTAAAACAGGGCATGAAAACATTAGGAAAAATAAACTGCATGCAGATGAAATGTCTGGAATCACTGTAGGGAGTTAACTGTTGGAATTAGCAAATTAAAACAGTTAAAATAAATAGTTCAACATCTTTAGCTCTTTTTACCTTCCTGTCTCAAAATAACTTATTTACAAGAACTTCCTTCCTTGGTGTAAATATATCCTTGCAACACTGTTGTGGTGCTGCTAAAACAGCAGAAAGTTATTCTACTTTGTCACATTCTTCCTGCCAAGTAAAAAGAGAACGAACACCTAATCCACATACTCAATATGCTGCTCTTCAGGAGTCTTGCAAGTAAAAACCATGCAGCATAAAACAGAAAATCCATTCCCTGCTGTTAAGTAAAATCCCTCTATTCCATGTAAGCTTTACTTCTAATAAAGTGAGTTTTTTAATTATCAGTCCTCATTCTTAATCAGAATAAGCAGCATTACCCACTGTGACAAAACAACACAAAATCTTGTTCTGAAATATAAATAGGACATATTTAGTACATATTCAGACCTACTGTAATCAGGTAACTATGTAACTATGTTGTGTAAATGCAGATCTTTTAACATAATGGCAAAGATTTAGTAAAAGCACTACAAGAAAAACAGAGGTTACTAGCTGAACTTGCAATTAAACTGCATTTCTCATTAATTTCAGGTTTGTATTTAATGTCTTAGAAGAAAGCACTCTATGCAAATACATATTCATCACTGATTTGCGTGGAAATTATATGTAGAAAAGTGCTACTTTGCAGAGAGTGGGTTATTAAATATTTCTTCAGTAATTAAAAATGAACTAGCAGAAACAAGGGCTACAATTAAGTCATCTTATTTTATGCACAATGTGTAGTTTGAATATATAGTTTCACCCATCTCTAATTACCCCAGCTGAACAGCATGCCTCATCAACCATTGTAATTTCAGCCATTTAAACAGGTCTTTAGCATAGTTTCTCTTGTTTTCTCTGGAAGAGGAAGAAATTAAGGTCAGATATAAAGATGGTCCACTGGAAACCAGGGCAAATCTTCTGAATACTAATAAAATGTTTCCAATGTATAAATGTTCCAGTATTTTCTTTCAGAAACTTCCTCAGCTTCAGTGTATAAAAAATGCAGTACAAGTCAAGAGAAATCAAAGTACTGGGAAGCTCCTCAGGAAGCTCACACTCCATCACTAATGTTTCAGTTTGCAGACTGAACTGTGCCTGTCCCAAATATTCTGCAATAACAAAGGCAGACTATATGCATTATTTTTGAAAACTCATGGCAGTCAGGTGAAGTCCCTGGTGATCAGGAAAAAGGAAACATCACTCCTACTGAAAAAGAGGAGAAACACAGACCTGAGAAAATAAAGACCATTGAGCCTCAAACCTTTGTGTTTTGGAAGATCATGGAGCAGATCCTCATGGAAGCAATGTTACAGCATAAGCAATGAAGTGATCTGAGACAATCCAGCTTGGCTTCACTAAGGGCAGTGTCTGACTGATCTGGTGGCCTTCTATGGTGGGGTACTGCGGTGGTTGATGGGGGCAGACCAAACAAATGTCATGTACCCAGACCACTGAAAGGCCTTTGACACAGTGGCACATAACATCCTCATCATCTCCAGACTGGAGAGAGATTAGAAGGATGGATAAGGAACTGCCTGAAGGGACACAGCTGTCAATCCTTCTCTGTCCAGGTGGAGGCCAGTGATCAGTGGTGCCCTTCAGGGCTCTCTCGTGGGACAGGGGTTCTTTGATACCTTCATCAACAACACAGACAGAGCACCTCAGCAAGTTTGCAGATGACATGAAACTGAACAGCACAGCTGAACTAGAAGAAGAAAGAGATCTCATCCAGAGGGATCTGGACAAACCTAAGGAGTGGGCCCATAAGAATCTCATGAAGTCCAAGGACAAGGTATTGTACCGGCATTGGAGCAATGCATGACATGAGCACAGACTGGGAGAAGTCATTGAGAGCAACTCTACCATGGACTTGGGGGTGCTGGTGGATGAAAAGCTGAACATGAGCCAACAGTGTGCACTCACAGGCCAAAAAGCTGCATCCTGGGCTACATTGAAAGAGGAGTGGCCAGCAGGTCGAGGGAAGTGATTCTGCCCCTCTGCTCTTCTGAGATCCCACCTGGAGTGCTGCCTCCAGCACAAGAAAGACACTGACCTGTTGGAACAAGTCTGGCCAGCAAAGATGATCAGAGCACTGGAGCACCTATCTTGAGACAGGCTGAGAGAGCTGGGCTGTTCAGCCTGCAGAAGGTTCCGGGAAGATCTTATTGCAACCTTCAGTACATATAGGAGGAGTATAAAATAGAGGGAGAACAGCTATTTAACCAGGCAGATAGCAACAGAACAAGGGTGAGTGGTTTTAAACTAAAACAGAAGAGATTTAGATGACATGTTAGGAACAAATTCTTTACTTAGAGGGTAAAGAGGCACTGGAACAGGCTGTGCATAGATGCTGTGATGACCCCATCCCTGGAAGAGTTCAGAGTCAGGCTGGATGGGGCCTGTTGATGCTGTTTGCACATAGGCACACAGAGAAGTAAGCAGCATCACATTAAATTTGACAATGATAATTCATAACTCATTCATGGAGAACAATCTTCCCCTAGATGTTATAAAAAAGGAAGACGAAACGGGGCTAGATTCTTCTCCCATTCATCTACATTAAGAATGTTTGTCAGAACCACATGACAATACCCTTATTTTTAGGGAATATCTTCACTCCCCTTGGTTGTCAAGCATGTGCCTAATAACGGCCAGAAAGCAAAATAAGCAAGCACAACAAACTACACAGACATTTCCATTCCTACCCAGTAATTCTGAGAATCCCAATGGTAAAGTTGAGTAAATGCAAGGGCAAGTCCTTTGCCAGGACCGCCAGGAGCCTACCTACCAAACTCATTCAAGCACAGTCACAAAAACTTCCTTAGGTTGTAGGACTTAATTTACCATTAGTAAGGACAATGTCCTTAATACTTGTCTGTAAAATGTAAACCAAACCAGAAATCTTTCTTCTAGACTGCTCTCTGTAATAGGTATTGGTTGATAACATGAAGTGCCTGCAACAGATCTAAGGTAAATAAGATAAGACAGTGATGCCTCAACCAAGAAAACTGAGTGAAGAAACTGCAACACCAAGCAATGGATCACACCACTGTCTTACTGTACCTTTGCCCACCTCTCACACCAATCACAAAAGTAGCACCTTTTATACATAGTCATGCAAAACTTTCCTTTAGGCTAGAACAATGGACAGTAATATCCCACTTCAGACAAATACAGAAATTACTTTCCTTCCATATGTGTCTGAGGAAAGGGCTGCATTAAGAAGAACAGCAACAACTACTCAAGTGCTGAAAGATAAAGAGCAGCTATACAAAACAAAAGGATAAAAAAGACTTCACGTGCATACAAGTAAAATTTTTTTACTCCTACCTCATCACTTTCATCTACCTCGATTCCACCATCTTTGTCATCATCCATCTGCTTATGGATCATGCGGAGCGCCTCCAGGCTGAACCGGTCCTCCTCAGTAAAGCATGGCGGGCTCAGTGAACTGCAGGGATCTAAAGTGAGGAGGACAAAAAAAAACAACACAACAGAAATGTTATTTACTTTAACTTCAGAATACAAAGCTTCCAAGCAAAAGAAAGGGTTTAAAATTCTGCATTGTGTATGTGTACTTCATTGCACATAATCACCAGGTCACAGATATCAAATTTAACTGTAAAATAGTAATTGTACCCAAAAAAAGTGAAAGGCTTGTGTGTGCAAATCAACTCTTTATTTATTCTGGAAGGAGTCCCAAAAAACAGACTGGAATAGTTTTGATTTCCATTTATTTCTTCCATCCCACTAACTTACTATCTCCATTTTTTCATTTATCATCCACATTTAGTTTATGTCAGTGCAGTGGCAAATAAAGCTACTGCATTTCCCACCCTCCTTCTGAAAGTCTAAACAAAACAAAGAACAGTGGGGGAAAAGAGAAGGAATTGTCATATCATACAATCATAGTCTCATAAACAGGTAACAAAGGAATGGCAATCACATTGCAGATCAAATTCTAAATAGGTGGTACTACCGAACACAAAATACTCAAGGACTGCAAGAGCAGAAAGCACACTGCAAAGAGAATTCAGCTGATAGTAGTACACGATGTATTAGTCCTGTACACTCTGATCACAAACTGCAGTCACTGTAGAGCAGGATTCCAAGTCAAAAATAGAATTCTTTCATTTGCATTCATTACTGAAGGCTCATGATTTGCACACATCTGATGGTTCAGCTTGCACCACATCAAACTGCTAAATCTGTGTTCTTTCCCTTCTACAAAGTACATGCCAAATGCTCCAAAATTCTACAACACATGATCAACCATCGCCACAGCAGCTTTACACAGACCTTGGCATTCACTAATAGCAGCTATTACATTAATTCTGATGTACTGAACACCAGCAAAGAACAGAAGGTGGAGAAGGATACAGAAATAGTTTTTTCAAAATTGAACTTAAATAAGGTAACAAATTCCCACTGTACTAGCCACTATAAAACTGCACTGACTAGCTCCATAAATTGTTACACTACACTTAAATCATATCAATGCAAGTAAAAATTGAGGGAGCATATAAGTAATTTTGCTCCTTCTAATCTATCAAAGAATTAAGCTTTCATGTAGCTACAGAATTTATTAAAAGGTTCACTTATATAAGTAAAGGAAGCACTTCTGGAAAAATAGAGGAATCAAATGTCTTCAGAAAAAAATAAATTATTTAGTTTATGATTTCATACCAGCTGGATTAGCATGATTCTGCTTTTCTTTCTAAAACAAATTTTAAAATAATTAAAAATCAAATTAAAGGAATGTATAAGGTTACAGAAGCAGGAAGTGCAAAGATAACAAGCATGACATAGCTGGATTCTCAGACACATAATTAACAGGACTGGCTTCCACAGCTAGACATGAGTCAATGCATTCCTACTTCATACTTCAGTTTTACTACACAGGAGTTAAAGGAAACCTGTTTTCTGTTCCCAGGCATCAATTAAAAAAACAAACAAACAAAACATAGCAGAAAAAACCTGAACACTTCACTGACACTGTCCAAGAACAGCGGTGTTGCTTTTAGAACTACTTCATGTATTTCTAAAAGCAACATTTAATACAAAGACAGATTTCTATATTTACTAGCTACTAAATTATTAAGTATTAATAAATATTTAATTAATAAAATACTTATTATTATTATTGATTACTAGATATTAAACGGGACCAATCACAAACAATATAATTTTCAGCTTTGGAATGCAACTGATATTATATGAAGGGGAAAGGGTTAATTTTAAAATCTATTTTAAAACTAAAAAAATCTATTTTAATTGTCCATTTTTTATTTATTACAAAAGGTTTAATTTGCACAATACTCGGCATTTAGATTTTTGCCTTGCAATGAAAAAATTACAATCATTTGAGGGAGTGAAGGACCTATTCCTGCAGCTACAGGGTGCTCCATGTAGAAAGGTTTCCCTTGCAATAACAATGAATCACCTCAAAGTTCTAATTATTAAGTTCTCACGGCCATGAACAAAAAATATTATTTTACTAAAATATAATCATATCAGAAGAAAAATCTCTGTATTGCAAGTTATGATCTATACTGTATCTTAAGTTAGAAGAAAGTATAGTTGTCAAAACATAAACAGATCCCTCAAACAAACCCAACTTGTTTAATTTGTACTTAATTCTATTCTAACATGGAATAAAATTTCAGATATAAGTGTTCACAGTTTGCAAGCACTCATTCAAATGTGGTTTTTTTCATTTTAATCAGCAGAGTTTTTCAAATCAAAACTGTTTTCTCAGAATACATTTTCTCACAACTGAGGCTGATCAGTCCCCTTAATCAGGGTACTTATCTTAAATATGCCTTTTTAGGACATTTAAGCATGAAGGCACTTTAAAGAGCTATGGCTTTTCTTGAGAGAAGTAAACAGGCTGCTTGTGCTTCAAATGTCCCATGTGCTGGCTCCAAGAACACTTGATCTCTCTCTTAAGAGCCGACAGAGTGCCAATTGCTCTTTTTGGGACTGAGAAAAAGAGCAGGACCACATGTCAACTCTAATAAAAATTAACCCACTCCGAAGAGAATCCAGATTTATTTTCAAGCTTATTTTCATGTGGTAAAATTAAACCTTTAGACTGACAGACCGACAACATTGGTCATCCCTTTCCTCAGAGAACAATCTCAAAACAAACTACAAAGCCACAACCTAAAGAATATATGAAAAGCATTTCACAAGCATACCTATGGAGCCCTACCAAATCCAAAAAACAGCTGATGGAAATTTAATCATCTGCAGTTCTGCAGAATATTTCTACAATGCAGCAGTTTGCCTCAGTTGCATGGCACAACCAATTCAAATTAATACTACATGGAGTGTGGTTAGTTACCTGGATGTCTGGGAAGTTTTTAAGACAAAAGCCAAGAGACAAAGCCTCAAGACACAGCAAACACCATAAATATAGCCCTGAAGCCCCACAACAAATCATAAGCCTAGTCGATAATTTTTCACTTTTAATTGACACTACTGAAGATGTTCTGGAATTCCAAACGTTCTCCTGGACCTCAAGGACAAGCCTGATTTAACGTCTAGACCGATTTCTCCATCCTAGTCTGGTGTGTTGTCATAAATGCACTTAGTCCAAAATCATCACCACAGGAAAGAACAGATGATAAATTCACTCAGGGAGTGAACCAACAGCATGGAATTTGAGCTTTCCTTTAAGGAAAAGCACAGAAGAATTACCAAAGGAAACAAAAGAGACAGGTGGGCAAGAGGCATAAAGGCACAGCAGATATCACTCCAGGCACAAGTTATTTTATACTTCAGTTTTCCATGTTGCTCAGAAGCAAGGAAGTTTCAGAAATACTGGTCATAATAAGGAAGGAATTTGTTCCTGAACTACTAAATGTCAGACTCGTGGCTCACAAAATTTGGCAGAGGATTTTGAAACAAACCTTCCTCCCGCCTTCAGGCAGTAAGTGCCTCCCAGCTCTAAGGCAAGAGGGGATGTCCTCACCAGTCCACAGGAGACTCCCACAGGAGACAGTCTGATAATGAACCAAGCACAGTTATCCAACCCAAGATAAAGAAAACTTTATAAGTAAAGGGAAAACAACACTTCACACCCTTTCACCCCACCCCTCCTTCCCCCCCACTTTAATCTTCTTCAGTGAGACTAAAATAAGGTGAGACTACAAAAAGAATTTCAGTTTGAAATTCCCCTCAACTTTAGATTCACAGCTCTCTATTCCATTTCCTAAAGACAACAGAGGTTAAACTTAAAATGTGACATTGTCAATACAAGCCAGTAAGGAAAATTAAATATCTCCTTATCCTCAAGCACTCATCTCAACAAAGCCCCTGAACTTTATTTAGGACTACACCATCAGAAGGGTTTCCAAAGCAAAAAGGTATATGCACCTCATAGCCTTTCATGCACCTTGCATTTGCTTCTCCCTAAACAGCTGCAAATGTTCCAGACTTCAGAATAAAAAAGACCAAGAGAGGGAACAAGCCTGCAGTTCTCTCACACACCTCCTTTTGCATACACACACTGGAGCACAACAGCTATGGCTGTGCCAAGCTGACAGAATGACTCCAACCAGGTGTCCACAGCTCCAGTCTGGAACTTTTCAATGTCTGAAAAAACCTTGTCAAGAATACAGGGACACACAGAAGTTTCATGATTTTTCACAGGTACCTGGAATCAGGTAGACACTTCCAAATCTAAAATTTAAATGCCTTTAAATTTTTCCATTAGTTCACTGAGAGCAATGTAGCAGTTGGGAGTTATTTCAAGAGCCTGACTACCACACATTGGTTTTGTTCTGTGAGGATGTTCAGCATTCACCAAGAAAGAAAAGCTTGTTTTTTATTATAACATATGGCAGTCCTATGGAAGCCTGCAGGGTTCCCATGCCTGTCTTTTGCTGATGAATTCAGAAGTGTACCATGCTGTTCCCAGTTTCTGATTCCTCATTCCTAAAAAGCCATATGGGATAAAGGGAAGCCTCACAGAAAAGGCAAGCACTATAAAGCATCAGCTTCCCAAGTACATACTCTCATCTTAAAATAACTGTGCTCCAGTATGCCATGACAGATATGGATTTCTTTGCATTTTCCAGACACAAAGGAGGTGTCCACAATATGTTCAACCCCCTGCCAAATGAATATTCACCTAACTGGGATTACTATTCCCTGACATTTCTGTTTGACATGTACGTTAATGTACTGCAGTTTCTTAATCAATTCAGTGACACCTTTCAAGGCAAAAAACCTTTACAAGAACAACAATTTTTGAAGACCTGAGTACAAATTGGAACATCAGATAGAACAGGGATTAATGAAAATACTGAAAAGCAAGTGTTTTTAAGAATTTTACCTGATGTTCAAAATAAATTTATTCACAGTAAAGGCAAACATGTTTTTATGTCAAATCCTTACATAATACATCCTGTCACTAAAATCTTCAAATGCTTGAGACAGCCTCAGAGTGAGCTTC